TACTTAATCTGACTTCAGAAATTCTGCTATTTGCTCCTCACAGACACAGATTTTCTGTTTTTCCCAGCTGTGGCCCCATCGGCTCCTGCAGCTTCTGTCACCTTCATCACCCTTAACAATACCACTATTCTAATTCCTGCATCCTCCATTCCCCTTGTCTCCAGAACTTTCTGTGAATAGTTATACAGTGCATGTGTATCTGTTTTAAAAATTCTATCCTTCAAGGCCAGCCTCAGCTACATAGAAAGACCCTGTCTCCAAAAATAAGATAAGAATAAAATAAATTCTGTCCTTTGCCTCATTGTTCTTCCAAGCACACACTCCAACTCATTTCTCTGCATTTTCATGAGAATTCCTTCACTTCATTAAGATGAAGATCAATTTTAGTCCTCCTCCTTACTTTGCCTAATATTCTGAGGAATTAAACAAAAAATAGGCTTATGTATGTGTGCTCTGGGAAGTCACTCTTTAACTTCTACAGATACTATACCATATTTTTTTTTTACATTCTAAAGAGCATTTGAAAAACAGCTCAGTAAATCCCATTAATAGATTAAAAATTTCTGCATGCAAAAATATTTCCCAAGTCATTATATAGAAATTAGTCTGTAAAAACATTGGGTTTTGAGATGTTCATAACATTCTACCTTTTTATAATAATAAAACATCTGAAAAGATTAAGTTTTGGAATCAGTGCATATTTTATCAATTACATAAGACCCCCTAATATAACTGATCATCAGCATTAAGTAGAATTTTTTGTTTCTGTTTTTTTTTTGTTGTTGTTGTTGTTGTTTTTTAGAGACAAAGTTTTGTTATGCAGTTCGGGCTGAACATGAGCTCAATTTGTAGCCCACACTGGCCTCAAACTCATAGTGATCTTCCTGCCCCCGCCTCTAGAGTACTGGGAGTATAGCCATGTGATATCACTCCCTGTTTATGTAAAATTTTAAAAAGATTATTAGTTGCTAGGACACCTCTATACTGCAGATGCACAACATAAAGCATAGTACAGAATTGTACAAGTCTATACCTCTTTCAGTCACCTGCACGAGAACATAGTCATTGGGTCCCGGTTGTATGCTTTGGTCCACTCTGCTGATCTTAGATGATAAGGGCTTCATGCACCAATGCCATCCCTGGAAATACAAGCAAATAAAAAACATGCACAACTACCACACCTTGATATGTTTCCATGTGACAGATTCTTTCCATGCTTGCAGATACAGGAAGGAAGATTCAGCTAACTTTTTGGGAAAAATATAACCTTTTTAATTGCTTTAAATTTTTATTTATTATTATTATTTATTTTTACACTAGAGAGATAATATGATATTTACAAATGAAAGTCTGATTTAATTTAATAACCTTTCAAAATGAATACCACAGTGCCTGGAACCTCAAGAATATAAATCTTAATTCTAAACATAGATATTCCAAATTTTTGTCATTCACAAATTTTCTCCTAAAACCAAATACTAAATGAGAATTTCAAGTTTTAAAAAATAAAATGTGTGGTAGAAGGCATCACTCATTATTGACACATATTTGCAATTTGTGTTTTATAGCTGTAAAAGTGAAAGAATGAGATACACTTTAAAATACTTTGATTCTCAGTCAGATATACTGACCTGGCTTCATCCTGAATACTGGAATTTAGGAGTAACTAAATGACAGGGAAAAATTTAATCCCTATTTTACCCTGATTTGAGTCTACCATTTTAATTTCTATAATAGTTAATACTGATATAGACAAACATTCTCTGAGGTAATAGCAAGTCTGTGGTCACTTAATCTGTACTTACACCATTGAACATATTGCTCAATTATTTGGTTAGTGCCTCTTGGAGTGTGACTTTTCTCTTAATTAAATTCACTGGGACCATAACATCATCCTGATGGCAGACTATGAACCTCCGGGGATGCTGTGAGGATAATAACTATATAGAAAAAGATTTACAGAAACCTATCCTCTGGGGAAAATAAATCAGCAACTTAAGACCAAATCACCAAAAAAAAATCAAATCTGGACACACAAGAAATATGTAAAATTCACATTAAAATCATAACCTTTATCTGAAAGAGATGAATATGATCAAAATATATTCTATGCATCTGTGAAAATGCCACTGAGCTCAAAGTTTTGGAAAATTAATATATACTATGAAACTACAATTTATATTTTTTATTTTTGAAAAGTAAAACAGAAAAAAAGGGTAGAAATAATACAAAATTTTAAAATAGTAGTAAAAAGTTAACACTAGTTAATGTATTACACGTTATCTTAGAAGTAGTTGCTCAAAGTATAAAAAGTCATTAAAAATGAACAGAAAATCTAAAATGACAACATAAATTATTCTTTATGATGAATTAATTGACTTAGTCATATGGTTATCTATCTTGTACCCTTAAACATACAAATAGTTACATGTTTATACCTACAAGCTGTTCTTTCTTTTTGAGCACTTTATTTCCCTGTCATTATTATAATATCTATTGTACATTTTGGATCTCATTATTATTCAATTTTTATTTATTATTATTATTATTTATTTTTACACTAGAGAGATAATACGATATTTACAAAGGAAAGTCTGATATATTCCACTTGTGAGTGTAGCCTCAAGTCACCTCCATTTATCTCTGAAAGCCTCAAGATCATCTTTTTTAATAGCAGAATAATTTTCTATTGTGTAAAAATACTACATCTTTTTCATACATTCTGTAGTGATGGGCATTGTGGTTGTTTCCAACATTTGACTAATACAAATTTTACTGCTTTAAACATGGGTGCAATTATACCATTGTGACATGACATTTTCAGTTTTTCTGGGAAAATATCTAGGAGAGGAGTAGCTGGATTGAATGGGACTTCCACTCTTAATTTTTTGAGAAATCTCTATACTGATTCATGTACCCTGAAAAACTTTCTTTGAAATTTGGAGGAGAAATAAGATACTTCCATGACAAAGAACAACTGAAGAAACTCATATTCACCAAACCAACTCTAGAAAGAGTACTGAAAGACATTCTAGAAAGGTAGAAATGACTATAATTCCCAGACCAACAACAGAAAGAAACCACCAGATAGAGCAAACAATTAAGGGAAAACTAAAAATGCAATTTTTAAATGACTTGGGTTGTAGGTAAATTTGGTGAATATGTAGTCTAGAATATAGCTTTTCAGTTGCCCTCTGAACTCAAACTAGAAAAGAAAAAAAAAACATAGTTCTTTAGCTTTTCTACTTGCGATGTATTTTATTATCTACTAATGTGTTATTGATCCCTCAGGCACTGTATTTCTTCTGGATTCAGGTTTGTTAGGTGTTATGTCGCTAGTACTAGGATGTTATTTATATAGTGGAAATATGTCTATTTGGAGGAATAAAAGTGTTCAAAACAATTCCCGTTTGTCTTTATCATTTCTGAAGTTTACAGTATGTTGTGTGTTCTTGATCGTTTCATTTTATTTATTTGAATTTTCTCTTCTTATGAAAATTACCTAAAAACCTACCAATTTTGTTTTGCCCTCTTAAAAGACTAACTTTTTTTCTTGATTTTTTTTCTGTTGCTTCCTATTAAGTTCTTGCTATGTCATGGCACTAATGTGTTTTATTTCCTTTTTTTCTGATAACGTTGGCCGATTTGTTCTTTTAATAATTCCGTTTGTGTAAAATTTGACTATTTCATGAGATTTTTACTCTTTTGTTAAATGTTTTATTTTCTTGCAATAAACTTTTCTCTTTTTATTCCTCCTATGCTTAACACATTAAAGGGTGCAACTTTTTTAAATAATCAGACAATCATAAAACTTTCTGGATAATTAAGAGAAAAAATATACCTTATATGATCTTCATTTTATAGCAGTTTTAATCACAGGCCAACACATGAAAACATCAGTGCCCATTGCTCAATGAGTGGACATTCAGAAAGTGCCGTATAGGAAATATATATATATATATATATATATCTGTCATTCAATATAATATAAAATAAGTTGGAAATAATACATAATACAGTCATGCAATGCCTTTTTTGTGAGCAGTTTAGTTTACAAACAGAAGCATTCAGCAAAATTTTGCTTCCAATCATACATTCCACATTAAGTGTTAAACACCATCTTCCCCAGAATTGTGAAACCAGGTTAGAGTGTGAACCACATTTCCACTGACAGATACTGACATAATTATAATTATCATATAATTTTTATAAGATAAAATATCTTACTTTATTTTTATTTATGAAGTACATATAATGCAATATTACTTAGCCTTACATAAGAATTGTATGCTGTTATTTATGACAATATGAGTGAACCTGAAGGATATAGCAGTATGACATAAGATAGTAACTTATCGCAATTATATGTGAGATATAAATACTCTCACAGTAAAGAGGAGTAGAACTGTGCTTATCAAAGCTTTCAAGATTGGATAAGTAAGAAAACTTGTTCCTACATATTATGTGCAGCATATTAACTACAGCTATGAAGGCTGTATTATATACCTGAAATTTGCTAAAAAGACTGTACTGTATTCATGAGTTGGCTAAAATGGCAGTCCTTAAATATTTTAGCCAGAATAATAAATGAAAAAAATATTGCTTCACTGGGATGATCAATGTGTTCATTAGATTGTGATGGAAATTTCACATATGTACACATTTGATATGTACACGTATCAAAACATCCAAAGTATTATCTAAATATATGTACTTCCTACTGAGCAATTCACACTAACAGAACTAGGAAAAGTACAAAATAATACTAATGGTACTCAAAATAAATCAGCTTTTCATAACATTTTTGTAGGATTTTTCCCTATAGAATGTATTGTATTAGAGATTGAGAGATTCCTGTGCTTCCAATTCATTTGGGCTGTCTAATTAGTAAATGGTTAGGGCAAATTTTAAGTCTATTTTTGCTGTCAATTTAGAGTACAGTCCCTTATTGCCAGGTAGATCTTGCACATGATTTAAGTCCTTTGAGGTGCTATATGGCAATGTGTGTTATGATCCCATTTGTTTCCTATCATGGTGAATGTTCCATGAATAAGTGGGGGTATGTAAAGAAATTTCACATATGCCTTCAACTTCCTGTTTCTGTTCCAACTCACATTCTAGCACTGGTTTCTTGAAAACTATGTGGCATACAGTACTTCTTTTAGGAGCAAACCAAGCTGTGTTAGCATTTAATCAAGGTTTCCATGACTTATTCTGAAAGTTAAGAACCTGTAAGACAATTATCATAATTTCTAGAAACTACAAAATGCTGATGGAATAAGTCAAGGGAAATCAAAATACAAGGCATTTACTCACAGCTGTGAATAGGAAAACTCATCATTAACATATATAGCCTCCTCTAATTCTTCTTCAGGTTCAAAGAAATTCTAAATAACAACCTGTGAATATCTTTGTAGAAATTAACAAAACTGTATCAAGAATCACATGAAAATACAAAACACAGTTGACATTGCTTCTTCCATGTGTCCTCTGCCATCCCCAGGCTGAGGTTCCCACCATAAGCCTGACCTGTCCTCCAGGGTCCCCCATAATATTGCAGCCCCAGCCACGTGGAAGTGAGAGAGCTAACTATGTGAGAAATCAGGCCTCCATGAACATTGGGCACAGACTAGAGACCTGCTTCTCAAGAACTCGGGAATCTCATGCTTTAGGAAAGATAGCTATAAATATCCCAAAGAATATTCTGTACAGATACCAGAATCTCATCAGATTTAACCATTCAGGGAATTCCTGTGAACCTCCAATAAGTGTCCAGAACTCTACTTTTTGGACTGTGTTAAAGACTTTACAACAAGAGAAGTAAAACCTGAAGAAGTCAATTGTTCTGAACATTGCTTACAGAAATATTTAAAAATGACACAAAGAATATTTATGAGGTTTCAGAAATATATTCAGCAGAACCAAGCCCTGGCAGTTAAAGCAGGACTTATTGGACAGCTGCAATGGGGAAGACCTGCCGATTGGCTCTGATTGGAGGGTGCCATCTCCAGTAGCTGGGAAAGAGAACCCATCTAGGGAATCCCTGGTAGACGTGGGCACCACATGAAACCATCTGTCATGACGATTTGGCAAGTGGAAATCCCTGGAAAACCAAAATTGTTGCTCACCAGTCTTACTGTTCAGTGAAAATAGTAAGATGCAATGCTTACTGAGGCCTTAGGTTTAAGCAGCTTGGTCACTTCATTAGAAAGACAAGCCACTGTTTTTTCATTTGCGACTGTTAATTTTAAACTAAATATGTGTTCACTCATGTAAGAAAAGATTTATTATTGAAAGTAATATAAATGGAAATATCATTGAACCGTTATTTGTAATATATAGAGTGATGCATTTTGACTAGACTGTGGATAAGTTGAAATGTTTCTCTTTTTCTTTTTTTTTTTTAATTGGTACGGAGGATCGAACTCACAACTGCTAAATCCTCAGCCCCTTCGAAATGTTTCTCAATCAGTATCACTCTCTAAGCTTTCTTTTTCATGTCTGACTCAAATTGCTGTAAATAGAGAGAAGAGTTGCTTATGAGTAATTGAAATGCATAACACTTTCTTGCCTCCATTTGAAGTGGGGCATTACATATTTCTATCTTGCATTTTCACATATGTTTAGGAAGCTTCCCATCTGGGGCTGTCTTGGGAATGTTTCCTTAAGGGTTGATTTTTATGGTCTAGTGGAGTCTGTATTGTTTTGCATTTTGTTCTAAATAACCAACATGAATGTTAATGAGTCTCACCAACCTGTTTCAGTTTATCATAAGCTGTGACATCTGGGTAAAACATGAGCAGAGTTCAAATAGGATGTCAGAGCCAGTGAATCTTGAAGCAAAGTCAAGCATTTTCAAGAAATTCCAGTTTATGACTAAGTACACCAAGAAATTTAGTAAAAGTGAGATAACTAATATAGATTAATATAGACTTGGCTTGTGAATGGACTTTGCTACTAGTCTAAATTTGTGTTTAAGGAAACATTAGCCACTATTTTAACTCACCAACATGATTTCTGTTGTATTATGTTTTGGGGAAGTGGGAGTTCTATTAAAATGTTGAAATACAGATTATAGTAAAATATACAATTTGCTATAATGCATACATGAAACATAGGCTGGCTTCACTTCAAATAAGGAAGCAACCAAAATTAATTTGCTAAATGTGGAAAACAAAACTTCAGACATTTTATTCATTTAAAACTTTGGGAAATTCATAAATATACTTTGCTATTTTTTTGTTTTGTGTTATTTTTGTATGTGTGTGTAATCAAGCCCTACATCATTATTATACATTTCACAAAACTAATCAAATAAGGGAAATTTTGCACAATAGAATCTCAAATACAGTGGGTGTGTATGTCAGACGTTGAGGACTTTGCAGTTGTCCATGCACTAAATGGACATTGCTGAGATGTTCATCCTTCATTCTGGCCTCACTTGGAAAAGATGGGTAAGTTTCAAGCACGATTTTAATGTTCTGCATTTAGGGTTTTATTTTGTTTTTGTTTTTTGAGACAGAATCTTGCCTTGTATTTCAGGTTGCCCTTGAGATCATGGAGCTGAAGCTGGGCAAAAATGTTCAACCATCTTGCCTCAGCCTCCAGAGTTCTGGGATTATGGCTGTTTGGCACTATGCCCAACTAGCATAATTTCAATACTCTTCAAATATGCATTGTACAAATTATCAACAAAGCTATAAATGTAAAACATGAAAACATTTATCAGAAACTCCCCAACACCTGTGCAATACATAAGGCCCTATAAGCCACCAGGAAAAATCAGCCAGGAAGCAGTGCAGACCCATACCCTGTGGGCTGGCAGATGTCCTACCAGATGCCTGGGAGAAGCAGCTAGGAAACAGTGTAACCAGCAAACCCATGTGCCTATAGAGGCTCCACTACTTGCCTGGGAGAAGCAGCAAGGAAGCCACGTTGCCTCCCTGTGTGCCTACAGAGGCCTTCTGGCTGGGGAAAGAGGCAAGGATGTCAAGTTTCCTCCATGTGTACTGACAGAGGCCCTGTCAGCTGGGAAGAAGTAGATATGTTCAATAGTACTAACCATCCCCAAATGAAATGGTATCACTACATTCCAGTTAAGATGTCTAAAATTTAAAAATATCTTCAACACCAACTTCTGACAATGAGGGAGAGAACCTGAAAACATAATTTTTACTAGCTGGGAAACAAAAGACAACCCTCTGAAACCAGTTTGGCCATTTCCTATTACCATACATATTCTTACCATAAAACTCAGATATTCTATTCCTATATATCTACCCATGAAATGAAAACTTAAAACTAAATGAAAACGTATCCATTCATACACATTCTGTGTTATCATATTAGAACAGTTTCACTCATAATTTGATATATCAGGAAAGAATTTGAATATCTCTCATTGGAAAAGGGTTTAACAATGTTGAACGAATTATGTTAGGTCTGCAAATGAATGCTCTGCTGATATATACAGAAATAAAGACTTCATACACATGATAGGAAACAAGCCTGTTTCAAAGGACTATATATTCTGTTGCCTTTTATTTCTTAAAGCAATATTTGGGTAAAGGCAAAATTAGGATAGAAATATATCAGGGATTTCCAGGATATAATGGAAAAAGACAAGTTGACTACAAAAGTACAGGAAAGCATTGTAGGGTGATAAGCACTGAATATATTGACTGCAATAGGTCTACTACATCTGCTACCTGGAAAAACCCACCACAATCCCAACTTGGCTTCTTATGGTTTTCCAAAACAGAACATCTAACAGCAAAAAGAACTTCAATATGGTTTTCTCTTCAACTGAACCCCATCCTTTAAATAAAACTGTTCACCAAAGATCTCTGTACCTATAGATAATGTTATCTTATATTCAACATCTCTAAACTAAAAAAACCATAGATTTTGACCTGAAGAATAGAAGTATTTTAAATCAAAGCTCATAATCCAGCTAGTAAATCTATTATACTGATCAAATAACGAGCACTTTTAGTCACAGAAAATATCTGAAGATGATATATATCTTTCTCATGAATATAGGGCACAGAAAATTTCACAAGGAGTTTATTTTTTCTCTTTAAAAATATAAGCACTAATTTAACTTAGGCTGAGATAAAGCAATTTAGAAGATATGATGTGCTTGGTTTTATCCTTTCCTTTACTTCTAAGAGAACAGAAACTGATATTTTGGCCACATCTTCCACTCTCTATTACATATACTACAACATAAAGGACAATTAATTATCCTTCTGTAATAGTTTTGTATAAGGATAGAGATGCATTTTAAAGAATCCAGTGAGGTGAGATGGACATGCTTAGGATTTACTGCATGTTTCTTACACTAGAATTAATAACAATTTCAGCACGAAGATATTCACTCCATAGTTTACTTTCAGCACCAAATTTTTCCGTAGACTTTTTCATCTCTGAGTTTCTCAAAGTATATATTAAAGGATTCAGCATAGGGATAATAGCTGTATAGAAGCTATTTTGTTTCCCAGCTAGTAAAAATTATTAATTTATCAATTGAAAGTTGGAAACATGTCTAACATATACAAAAATACAGGGGCAAAAAAAAGCATGAGTACAGTGATGTGTGAGCTGCAGGTAGAAAGGAATTTTTTTCTCCCTTCTTGACTGTGAGTTTTAAGAGATTTTAGGGTGAAGCCATAGGATATAAGCAGAAGGATAAAGACCTACAAGCAAATGGCTCCACCATGAGCGACCACTGTGAGGCCAATAAAATAGGTGTCAGTGCACGCAAGCTCCAACAATGGGTACATGTCACAGATGAAATGATCAATGAAATTGTTTCCACAGAAGGGAGACTAGACACAAAGACAAGTTGAAACACAGAGTGTACAAAACCCTCAGCCCATGCCGCCACCAGCAGGAGGATGTTGTTGTTGACTATGAGTTTTAAGAGAGCTTAGGATGAAGCCATAGGAGATGAGTAGCAGGATAAATACCACAAGGCAGATGGCCCCACCACTGCGGACCACAGTGAGGCCAGTAAAGTAGGTGCCAGTTCATGAAAGTTCAAGTAAAGTGTACATGTCACAGGGAAAATGATTGACGGCATTGGGTCCACAGAAGGGGAGACTAGAAACAAAGACAAATTGAAACATAGAGTGCACAAAACCTCCAATCCAGGTTACCACCAGCAGGAGGATGCAAACCTGCCAATTCTTGATGGTCAAATACTTCCTAGGCTTACAGATGGCCACATAGTTGTCAAGGGCCATCACCACCAGTAGGAAGAACTCAGCACAATCAAATAGGTGCTCTACAAAAAGCTGACCCATGCAGGCTGGAAAGCAGATGGTCTTTCTGTCACTGAGCAGGCCTATAAGAAACTTTGATGAGAAGACAGTGGAATAAACAGGATCCGTGAGTGATGATAGGCAAGGAAAAAGTACATTGGGGAGCCGAAGGAAGGGCTGGTGATGACAGTGACCATGATAGCACATTGCCCACCATTATTACAGTGTAGATGAGTAAAAATATAACTAATTATATGCTTTGTACATTGGATTCTGTGTTAGGCTCAGGAGGACAAACTATGTGACACTGTTGCTGCATAGGATTCTAGAAGCCTTATTCAACAAAAGAGCAGTGAGGTAAGCAGGACCTGACAGAAAATCATGAAGAGGACAATGATCGAGTCTATTACAGAACATATTTCTACTGTCATATCAGCCAGAGAAGTGAAGACACATTTCATAAAATGCTGTTGAAATTCTCTTCCAAATAGCCCCATAACCCTGGTCATTGTAATTCTCCCTGGATGATTTTGTTGGAGCTATAATTTAGAAGTTCTTTTTCAGTGGGTATCTGTAGAGAAGAAAGATGAAACCATTCTAATCACTCACACATTTCACAGTTTCTTTCAAATATGTAATTTCACGAAACAGAAGTCAGATAGAATAAATAGGAGAGAGGCATTTGCTTTGGAGAAATCTATTCTCCGGTCATAGAAATGAACACTT